AATCCACGAATTACGGTTTGAACTGCTTGACCATCCACCTTACTCACCAGATCTAGCCCCAAGCGACTTCTTTTTGTTCCCTCATCTAAAAATTGCGCTCGGAGGACAGAGATTTTCGTCAAATGAAGAGGCAATCACCTTCGTGAACAATTATTTTGCAGAGAAAAACGCCGAGTACTATTTCGACGGGTTACAGAGATGGGAGCATCGCTGGGAGAAGTGTGTAGATTTACAAGGAGACTATGTTGAAAAATAAAAAACAATTTTCAGAAAAAATGACTTGTATCTTTGTTAGGTCGGAAACTTTTCAGACCACCCTCGTATTTACTCATAAAATACTCCCGCTTTTCTGCTCTTATGTCTTACCGATTTTTACCAGTGGAAGTAAACTTTCATTGCAGAATTTATCTAGTAGTAGGGAAACTAGATATAATTGGGTCTAATTAAGTACCAAGAGGTATGTCGGTCATATGTGCTTTGCTTATGTATGAATTGCGAAGGGAACAGATGAGGAGACCAAATCAGTCACGATGGAGAATATTAATAGAAAATTTTGAGAGGCTCGAAAATTTATTTTGCTTAATTTTGCTATATCAAATCAGTTTTTTTTTTTATTTCTTAACTGTAATAGTATTCTGATTTTAATGAGACTCAGGAAGAAGTATTTATGTTCTGAGAGGAATATTTCGCGATTTTCGCAACCATTATTCCTCTCAAAATAAATACTAAAAAAAAAAAACACACGGCCAACATATCCTTGGGGCCATATACTTCCGATCTCCCTTATATAAATACAGACGCACGATATATCGTTATCTTGCCGCCTGTAAAACACAGGTCGGGCTTGAATATCCCTAACGATCGTGAGAACGCCGATATTCGGCGGCACTGTTTCTCCCGGTTCGATGATGCCCAATGAGAAATCAGAGTAACGCCAGTTCGTACACATGAATCTTCCTCAGCAGTCCGCCTATTCATGAAAATCGTGACAGGTCCGCTGTTTTGTTTTCTCCCGCCGCTTTTTTTTTCACCCGACAGTCCCGCGCGCGCTACGAGACATTACGGATGAGCTCTTCGTGTTCGTCGTCGGCTCGTTCGCGCTGCAACGACGCGCAACTACGAAAGGGGAAAAGCGTTTCGCGCCGGCAATAAATAATAACGAGTCCGCCCGGTCAATGTGCCCCGTGACCGATATTCCGCATTTTCCTTTTTTCATTTTTCTCGCACCTCTCCCTTTTTCTCTCTCTCGCAGTTTATTTGTCTTCGGCTAACAACGGTCACGAGTGTAGAACACGCATAAATTCGCTGGGTATCAAGTATGTATCATTGAATCGAGAGAGAGAGAAAGAGAGAAAGAAAACTGAATTTATAATTATATTTATTTCTATATTTATTTTTATAATTACTAGAACACCACATAGCGCGCGCTTCGCCTTTTCGTTGTACTATTTACAATTTATATTACAATACTCGTTTTAACAAATTATATTCCCAGCAAACATAATGTTACGTACATGTTAGTTGTAATTTCCTATTCAACAATGTAACTGTTATATAACACGTATATTATATAACAGTTATATTGTTTGTTGAGTATGAAATTACAACTAACATATATGTTACATGTAACATATATGTTAGTTGTAATTTCCTATTCAACAATGTAACTGTTATATAACACGTATATTATATAACAGTTATATTGTTTGTTGAGTATGAAATTACAACTAACATATATGTTACATGTAACATTGTGTTTTAATTTTAAAATTAAAATTTAATTTAAATTAAATTAAATTTAATTTAAATTTTAATTTTAATTTTAATTTTAAAATTTAATTTCCTATTCAACAATGTAACTGTTACATAACACGTATATTATATAACAGTTATATTGTTTGTTGAGTAAGAAATTACAACTAACATGTATGTTACATGTAACATTGTTACAATGGGATTACAATAAATATCAAATTCATATGACGCGAACAACATAACCTGATCTGTCACCGTGGCTGACAGCTGCAAGCGGCACGAATTCAACTGCGACGGGATCGAGACAATCGAGACGGTCGAGACAGCCAATTAGCGTCGCGGAAAAGAGGCTTCACCCACTTCGATACATTCGAGATTTAGTTAACACGCACTTTTTCTGGTAGGATTGTACACTAGGAGAAAAAGTATTTAAAAAATAATGTTTATTTAATACGTGCTAATGACATATTTATTTAAATTTAAATTTTCTCATATAAATAGAACAATTACTTTTATGAGAGGCTAAGGTTTTGAGAAAATGTACTTAAATGTATTATTGGCACTCATACCGAATAGAATCTTTTTATTGGATATTTTTTTCTCTCAGTGTATGAATGCAGTCTCCGTTATATAACCATTTATTTCATTGATATATAAAAATTATTAACAAATAAAATTGTAAAAATTATCTGACAAATAAAATTTAAATAGTTTTTACAGAACTGCCGTTACGAATATTCTCTGAAACATTTTATGAAACGTACTATTTGATTCTGTATTTATAAAATAACGTTGTTCCATTGTAATCGCTACAATTTACATAAATACGATGGATTTTAGTCTAGTTCTTTAATTTAGTTCTTTAATTCCGGAGAAAGACATCATGTTGATAGTCGCGCGCAAATGTTGCCCGGGGTCGGAGCATTTTTGCAGAGATAACTTTTTATATCTGTGGCAGATTCATCTTTAAATCTCGCTCTATGACATGCAGCGTCGAGCGGTAAAGACCTGTTACAAATAATAACGAGTGTAGTGTAGTAATAAACAATAACGGATTTACTTGCCGACCTATTCCACATTTCTTCTTTCTGACGACTCTTCCTCTCGCGCTCGGCAGTTATCAAGTAGAGCTGAAGATTGGTAGGAAACGATCTTATCTAATCGAGTCTCCGGCGTTTATAAAACATTGCAAGTGTTAATATACACGTCACGTACGAAATCGAGGGCCGCAAAAGCCGCAAGAGTCCTGAGAAGTTTCATGCGCGCGTTATAATAAACGCTGTAAGACACGCGCTTACATTCTCCAATACATATTTCCTGTTTTCCAAAGAAAGAACAAAATACCGGCGAACTACTAAAAGCTCTTAAGTACGCTTCTAAAAACTTTCCTCTGTGAGCTTCGACAAACTTCAAGTAGAAGCCGTAACGATCGCTACAAATTTCGTCAAAAACGTTTTTGCAAAGCGTCGCCTATACTTTTACAAAATGAGAAGGAATGGGGAGGAAGGAGGGGAAAGAGAGAGAGGGAGAGAGAGAGAGAGAGAGTTTTGTACGAGCAATAAATAATAACGCACATCTACTCGCTCCAGTCCGATATTTCCTACAGCCACCGTCATTTTCCCCGTTCCCACAGACATTTCTCTCTTTCCCTTTGAAGCCGCGGTACGTGCAGCCAGCAGAACGCAACAACGGCTCTGAGCCTTACACTCGAGAGTAAACGAATCCACGGCGCAATTAGCTATTATTCGAACGAAAATGATACATGGCTCCTATTCTGAGTGCAACAAAGGACGCCGGAGAATGGACGCGGTGTTCGCTCGCACGCGCATGAATCTTCCTCAGCGCTTTTTCGCGGAAATGATCGCGTTCGCGATGCGCCGCTCGTGTTTCCGCGGTTTCTGTAATGGTAACCGCACACCATGGATGCGCACATAACAAATGCAACGAATGGTCAACGTATATATACTCGTGTGTGTAAAATGTAACGACGAAAATATGATGTACAACAAATATGTACAAATTTAGCTCGATGTACGTACGTTGATCGATAATATTCACTTACGAATGGTGTTTCGAAATCGATGCGATTCTCAGCTACTCGCAGATGGATATGCAATCGTTAAACTTCTGTTTCACTCTTCAGACGCGAAAGTCGAAGAAATATCACGATAGTTGTACTGTAGCATGAAAAGGTGTACATACTATTAAAAACTTTTCATATCTCGGTTTACGCAGACATAAAATATTCTACCGCTGAGAGAAGCGATTATTCAGTTTACTTTCCTTCTTTTAAGAAACGGTTATCTTCAACAAGGAATATTTTCCTGATAAGAGTCTTAAAATGGACTCGTCACAAATTTGAGAAAAGCTCATATAGCAAAAGAAAGTACTTATTCTATTTACAAGAACATTATAAAACTTCACCGATGGAAAACTTTATTCGACTTTGTATAGTAGGCAAACTGAATTTTTGTTTCAATTTTATATTCTTTATTGAAATGTTAAATTTGTTAAGATTCATTGAATAAATTCAATGCTTATAATGCACTTATGATTGACTTGCGGATATATAAACTTATGAAATATTTAAAACAAGTAATATTTGTTTGAATGCAGTATTATGTATTTTTCTGTGTGTCTGTGTGTGAATTGAAAGGCTTTGTGATAAATACTATATGAATCGACTTGGTATGCTTTAATTTTCCTCGAAACCACCGCGTCCGTTTGATAAATAAATCTATTCGCAGCTACAGATTTTTGCATCGACGACAAAAAAAATGTAGGAGAAAGAAAGAAAAAAAATATGGGATGATCAATCAAAGGATTACTGAGTACTAAATATCAATGGAATATCGTATTCGCTTCATTGTGAGTAATCCACACAAACGTGTCTTAGTGTAGATTTTTATTCTCAATGCGAGAGAAAATAGGAACGACGGAATTTTGCGCTATTGTTGTATAGAAACCACGTAGTCGGTCTTCTGTCGGTATGCTCAGGAGAATATGGAAAACGTAGAAATAGTAAATGCTCTTGAAAATTAAATTCCGTTTCACAAAAATTGTTCACGCCTTAAAAACGACTTGAGCTCCGTTTGATGAGAAATTCAAGCTCGAATTCTTATATTCATTTACTTCGACGAACTATGACGAACAAACGTATGCATTGTACACTGCTCTTAATAACATGAACGAATTTTAACAATTTCATACATTTTTCTTTTTTCGTGATATCAAAATTAGACACACGTATACACGTATACGTACACACGTATAACAGGGATCATGATATCTTAAGAAATGTTATATTTCATAATGATAAAATGGTTTCACACATATGTTTCAAGCTTTTTCATATGTTGACAATAAGTGAAACAAAGTTCACATACAAAGAAAGAAAGAGAGAAGAGAAAGAGAGAGAGAGAGAGAGAGAGAGAGAGAGAGAGAGAGAGAGAGAGAGAGAGAGAGAGAGAGAGA